TACAAGACAGGTAAGACACCAGTACCCTAGGCTATTGATACGGTCTACTGAGTACTACAAGACAGGTAAGAGACCAGTACCCTAGGCTATTGATACGGTCAACCGAGTACTACAAGACAGGTAAGAGACCAGTACCCTAGGCTATTGATACGCTCCAATGAGTACTACAAAACAGTACGAGACCAGTACCCTAGGCTATTGATACGGTCAACCGAGTACTACAAGACAGGTAAGAGACCAGTACCCTAATCTATTGATATGGTCTACTGAGTACTACAGACAGGTAATAAACTCATGCCCTAGGCTATTTATCGGGTCCATGATTACTCTAGAAGAAGTATGAGACCAGTATAGGGCATTATCGTAACTGTGTAACTTGACATCCAAGTAAAAGGGCAATATTTCTATTTTTTGTTGTTGTGATTTTGAAGTCTTAATCAATTTGTGGTTCCAAGTTTAATGCATTTTTTTTTAGATATTACATCTTTAAAAGGACATAAGATTCTTTGGAAGGATTGTCAGGAGACAGAGGGTCCGTCGGTTGATTTTGATGGAACACCTTACATTAACATAGGGTGGATGGTTAAGGAGTGTCATCAAGGGCCTGATAGACAAAGAAAAGCAAAGGGAAAGAGGAAACAAAGAAAAGTTTGAAAAAAATTTATTATATTAAGAAATTACAGATTTCATGCTCGCTAAAAATAAAATACCATTTTTTAAAGGACAAATCTCTAAATTTGCGTCTCATTAAAATATCCAATTATAAGTTAATTTAGTTTAAGAATTTTTTATACCTAAAAGATATTAGCAGTATTGATCAAAGCATGTTGACAGTTTAATGTATTATTTTCACATGTCTTTGTAAGCAGATACTACAAATAATAATTTTTTTTTACCTGTTTTATGTTTTTAATGGCATTTTAGAAATCTGGAGATCACAATTACTCAAATCAAAGGAAGGCAAGAAAATGGATACAGATGTCAAAAAAACAGACTTGTCCGGCATCTATTAGGATAAGAGTGATATTGAAGTTTCCAGAATTTAAGGTTTATCTTTTTTTCTCTCTTTCTTTTCCTGTCAGGAAAATGCGTTGGCATTCAAACTGCTAATATTTCTTACACAGAAATAAATTAAACAAAGTGTTGTATTATCAGGTTGATTCCTATGACAATGCTTGGATTAAGAGAAAAATGTCTAGGCTTTTAAAGCAAGCCTTCGCAAATCGAGAGAAGGTGAAGAAGGACATGGTTTATTTATTATCATATCCAGATGCAGAAGAGCACAAATATCATTTTACAGGAGAGGTAAGAACTCACAAAATATCACAGAAGTATTCTTAAGAAATTTTAAGTAATTTTAAAAAAACCAATTACATTATACTACAAGTGTAAAACAAACTTTTATGTAAGCTGGCAGGTTATACCCAACAAATTGACCCCAGATTAATAAGGAAGATCCAAGAGCTAGTTGCTGACGGAGTAAGAAATGTTGCAGAAATGAGGAGACATCTCTGTGTTGCACTGAAGAAAGAAATTTGTCCTGGTGAAAACATAGCCCTTACCAACAGGCGCTTTTATCCAAAGGACAAAGACATAAAGAATCACATGGATAAAGCTCTAAATAGTTTAAAGTAATATATGTATTTACTTTGTGATACTTTCATGTTAAATAATCAAATTTGATTGGTTTTAGTATATCTCTGAAAATTTATTTTAAATGAAGCAAAATATTCCCTTACTGGCACTTCATGTTAAGGAAGCTATTGTATTGAACACATGCATTGTTTGCTTGAAGTTGAATTGAGTGCACTAGCTAAGAAACAAAATTGTCATATATTTTTTTTTAGATTTTCGAAAGATGACCAATTAAACTTGGAAGCACTGATAGAGAACTGGCAGGAGACCAATCCTCAGGACAATTATTTCCTAAGATCATCGTTAGTGCATTTATTATAATAATTGAAACTAAGACAAATGAATATAAAATACATATTTCTAATAGTACAATGTAGATTCTGAAATGTTTTATATTTAATAACTTTGTGAAAAGCACCACTTACAAAATTTCTTGTTTTTTTTATGTCATTTGAATTAACATTTAGAATACTTTTTGCACATATACAGATATGGCTTGACAGATAAACATCCAGCTGAGGAATTTTTATTTGTGCATCAAACAGAATGGCAGAGGCGCCTCCTCAGTTTGTATGGTAAAGACGTGTGCATAATGGATGCCACCTACAAAACATCCAAATATGCCCTACCTTTGTTCTTTGTTTGTGTGCAGACTAATGTTGGGCACTCCATATGTGGCTCCTTTCTTGTATCATCAGAGAGCAAGTCTTGTATTAAAGAGGGTTTAAATAAGCTCAAACAATGGAATCCCAATTGGTCACCAAAGTATTTTATTACGGATTATGATGAAAGAGAAATTCAAGCCATAGAAGAGGCATTTCAAGGTAAGAAAAATTTACTTTGTACCACAGTTCTGTTATCTACACATGTTTTTCTTTATTTTTCTAATGGCAAATTATTTTTTACTTACAAGTGATATCATAAGAAGACTGCATGCCATTGACAAATTGAATACTTAGCATTGCAGCTATATATTTTTCAGATTGCTTTGTGTACCTATGTGCATTTCACCGTGAGCAGGCTTGGACACGTTGGTTAAAGCAAATCAAAAATGAAGTCGGCCGTTACCAAGATGACATAATAGAATTGTATGTAGGAATTAAATTTATTATTTCAATTCAATTCACTTTATTGACAATTAATTACCATGTCGGCATACAGTCATGAGCATTTAGAAATTTTAATTCTATTTAAAGTTTATTTAAATTATATATGAAATACATTTGTATGGATTTCACTTATATATATAATGTTTAAACTCAAGAAGATAATATCTGATACGATTTTTCAGAATGAGAAAAGTTGCCAATTCTCCATCTGAGTGCTCTTATAAGGAGGCTGTTGTTGACTTAAGAGGGCATCCACACTGGCAGGAAAACTTAAAAATGCGGACTTGGTTCGAGAAAAAGTGGTTGTCAGTGTCAAATGTAAGCTGTCTTGCCATTATTTTTATTGTCTTATTTTTATTACACAATTATATAATACAGTTAATATTAATAATTCTGAAAATTTCTCAAGAAATTGTAAAATTTCAAATTTTTTTAGCGATGGGTGAAAGCATTCCGTGATGAAACAGTAACCCTTATAACAACAACCAATGCTCTGGAAAGAAAACACCAAGAATTTAAGAAAGGTTACTTATCACACTTCAGTGAAGGGAGTCTGTGTGCTTTGGTGACAGCTCTTGTAACCAAATTCTTACCTGATAGTTACAGGAGGTATACTCAGTCTTAATTTTAACATTTCCTTGTAGTAAATATAATGTTATTTAGCTTTTAAGAAACTTTGAAAGGCTATTCAGTTGATATTGGACAGTGAAAATTTTTTCTATTATTATTATTTTTAAAGACAATGAATTTGTTTAAGCATTTGTTTGAGAGAAAAAGAGAAATTGTTCAGAGTAATTGGAGATTAATATTTAATGTTTGAGATTCCATCCATAACCTCATATACTAATCAGTTAAAACATGCAAGTTTGTTCTTGTTCATTTTTTAATATTTATTTCAGTTACTTGAACAACAACATTCAGTGTTTGGAGTATTGCAGAAAATATGCAGATGGTGTTCCAACCTTCCTTCATAACAAACCACGGATGTTTGTTGAACATTGTCTAAAAAGAATTCCACCACATATTCAAAACATCCCTCCAAGCAATATTGAAGAGCTAGGAGAAAGGAAATATGCAGTCCATAGTGTAGAGTCTGGAAAGATCTATTCTGTAGTCATCACAAGTACTCAACCAGCTTGTACTTGTGTTGATTACAGCATTCATCATCTGCCTTGCAAACATATGTTAGCAATATTTTCATGTGTACCTGACTGTAGCTGGAATGATCTTCCAGAAGCATACAAAAACAATCCCCATTTCAACCTTGATGAGGATATTTTACAACAATCTGAAGTAAATCCTATGTCTCCTTCGCCTATTCCTGAAGAGCACCTGAATGATTCACCAGAGGATAGTGAACATCAAGTGGCAAGTCCACCTGCAAGTAAATGTACAACTGAGGAAATCATAACCTCCAACAAAGAGAATTATGCCAGGCCCCAGCATATTATATTGAAAGAATCAATTTCTGCCCTGAAAGACCTCCAGTCAGATCTCTATTTGGTTAACAATACAGCAGACCTGGAAGATATTTGTCAGAAAATTTTAGAACTGAGATCTTACATATCAAGAAAAATACCCAAAGACTCCGGACTGAAATTACAAAAGGGAGCAAAATCTGGAAGACTCTCACTAAAAAGAAAACCCAAAAGTCTACCCTTAAACAGAAAATACAAAAAGCCTAAAAAGAATCATCATGTTCAATTTGTTGAGGAGGATGAGATTATTGTTTTAGATGGAACTTTTGACAACCCATCCTGTGAATTTAGTCAAAGTAATAATCCTGGGGAGGCTAAACACACAGACTTCATACCCGATGATTCCTGTTCTCCAGAGATGTTCGACTGTGCCAAAGTCCAGGAAGAAACATCACATCAGACACTGGATGTAGAAACTTTATGGAAAGTTAAGCCAGTCGGATATTTAGTGGCAAAAATTGCAACAAACAAAATAATGGACAACTCTATACAGTTTTTAAAGACATCATTATCAGATGAGGTATGTGGGAGTTTAAACACTAAAGGATATTTCATATATTAATGTCTTATTTATTATTTAGGTATTATACGTTAATTTAAATTACAATATACATGTATATAATGGTTAACAGACTTTTTGCATTCATTATTCATAAGGAATAAATGTATTTGTGATTTTTTATATTCCTTTTAATTCCATTCAGCAGTAATTCCTGTTATTTTCAGGTTATTGATGCATACTTGCATCTTCTTGTGGAATCAAAAAAGGTAATATGTCATACTTGGTAAAATACATGTACATCTCCAATTTATATTTATTAACATGTACATAGTAAATATCAAGAAGATGCGATACATTGTATTTTATTTACCTAAAGCTTCAATGTAACATTTATATTTTGATGTTTTAGAATAAGAAGATGTTTTGCATCACTTCTTCCGTTGCAACGGCCATATTTGAAGGGAGGACAGAACATTTCCAAGGTTACATGAGTGATGTAAGAAAAAAACAATGTATTTAAGATTTTTGATAGGGGTTAAATCCTTTTTTTCTTATAAGCAGTGTTTTTGATATACTGTAGACATACTTTTTTCCAAGGGGTCATAATTCCGCGGAATCACTATTTCTGTTTAATCAGCGGGTAACAAATTACGCAGATTTCTTAGTCTGTCACTATATGCCCTATATTTTTATTAACAAATTTCCGTGAAAAATCTGTGACCGCGTACATAGTGTAGAAAAGTACTTCTACAGTACTAGTATAAAAATATAATGATAGTATAATTGTAAAGACATTAAACTTCTATCATCATTTGCTGACTTTAGAAAATGTAGGTTTTTAATGAAACAAAAATACATCTGTTTCTTTTTTAGGTAAAATTTTCAGATTTTGACATTATTCTTGCTGCTATCAATGAAAACTACGGGCACTGGACTCTTCTTGTATGTAATACGCATGCAAGACTATTATATAGAGGGAATAAGGGAAATTTTGAAAAATGAAATAGGCATGCTGCATCATCTTCTTAAAATATGTGTAGACTGTAAAAAAGCCTCTGTTTGCAATATCAGTACTCTAAATGATTCTTTTTTCTCAGGTAATCTATCCATCAGAGAAGAGATTGCTATACATCAATTCTCTTGGAGAATCAAAGAGAAATCTGACAAATATTGGAGAGAAGTGGAGGTAAATCAGGGATGAACACATTACTGAGTGCAATACATTAAAAAGAAATTTAATGCATGTAATAAAAATACAACTGAACTTAATTAAAAAGACTGTGTTGCAATTTTTAGGAAGTATATATTGGGTAGAAGGAGTGTTGGTGTTTCGGAACTTTCTCACGAGGGCTGGAAAGTAGAGACTACCAAGCACACAAAACAATATGACTCCAATTCTTGTGGGGTGTATGTTGTAAAGGTGAGAAGAAATTTATGTCATTCTATGAAATTTGCGAAACCAAAAACATTTTATTTGTTAAGGAGGCTGGGAAGTCAATAAATTAACTACAACTTAACCACCAGATTTAACTTATTTTTTTTTTGATACGGTATCTTAACCTGTCAACTATCATTTGGCAAAGAAAAAAAATCATACGTTTTAGTTTAAAAATTTGATCATTTTTTGTAATTATCTTTATATGGTGCTCTTCTTCTAAAGGAGATCGAAATAGTCTGAGAATGGCTGCGACCCCCCAGCCCCCTTTAATACCTACAAGTTACATAGTACATTTAAATACAATTAGGTGTACATGTAATATGTACATGGAATACCTATCTATGTTCACAACCTGTTGATGTTGTTTTTGATATTGCATCAAATGTTTTTGAGATATCTGATCATCCTCATATATATTTTTTTTAGTTCGCAGAGTTGGTCATTTCAGACATGGCACTATCCTTTAGTTGTCGTCCAGATAACTTGAGTCAAATCAGGCAAGGTATTGGAAATCAACTTTTGCAAGCAACAGGTAGGGTATGACAGCTAAAAATTTCTAATTTAAACTACAGCTCTTATTATACCTCATAAATAATAAATAGTTTAAAAATAAAATCTGATTGGCCAAGACAGACATGTGACTGTCATGTTTGCTATGCAACAAATCTTCGATTTTGTCTCACGATTGTGACGTCAAACTGCGGTGACTGAGATGATTAGTACTACTGAGTAAGATTGTTTATATAGCTAATTGATAATAGATATAAAACATACTTATAAATATGTAGAAAATTGTTTCCATGTGTGGAATGATTGTTAATACTGGTGTGTTAATCAGAATGACTTGTCACAAAAGAATTTTTATGAATCCCAGCTAGTGGTGTTACTTACACATGTATCATATTGTTCTTATCAAATGGTTTACTTTATGAATTGGATTTTTGTTTGATTCAGAATGATAAACAATTGATTGAATGATAGTGAGAAGGACAGGAAGATTTCTTCGCCCATTAAAAATCCTATTACCCTCGGGCAATGCCATCTGGGAATA